GGCCACTGCTGTTGGTCATCCCTGGGCCCAACTCTTCCTGCCCAAGATGCCTGTGTTCTACCTTCTGCGCCTTCACACTCACACACACTTTCTAGGCCTCAGGGAGTCCATACCTCCCAGTCTGAAAATCCAGCCAAGGTTCTTTCCTTACTCCTGTGTAATCCCAAAGGCGGCCAAAAACTACATTAACATCATGCTAGTATTTTAAGAAGGCTGAAACCACTTTGATCTCCAAAGCTACTCTTCTTATACTCTATTCCTGAATGAATGGCCTATCATCTAAAATCCCTGGTGTCATCCTTCAGACTTCTCTTGTCCTCTCCTTATAAGCCTAAGTCAAATTAATCATTACCTGCTCATTTTCTCTTGGCTACACATCATTCAAGACACTGTCATCACTAACTAGCTTCCTCACTGCCTCCTAGGTACAGCTTCTTCAAGTATACAATTCTGCCTACATCCCAAATCTACTTCAGAATGATGCTTCTAAAATTCCAATCAGATCAAGTTACTCTCCTCCTTAAACCTTCTAAGGCTCACCACCACTTTTGGGGGAAGGTTCAAACTTCTTAACAAGTTTTCCTAGCTTACAAGACGCTGCAGGATGTAACAACCTACCCAGCTTTTCTCATGCCCCTACCCTGCACCACCAACACTCCCAATTCTTCCTTGCCCAAATCCATGTACCAATTTTCTTTGCCATCCATTCTGAACTATTTTTAATTCCTTGAGCTTGCATGTTATATCCTACAACTAGATATGAACTGGTATCTCCACTACCTGCTAGCTATTTATCCTCTCACCCTTCCCCTCACCCTTATTCCTTTACAGGAATCCTCTACTCATGAAGGAGTTCCATTCTGGGAGAATGTTTGTAAGTCAGTCAGACTGATTCATAAATCCGATTCATGAGTCTTAAGTGAAACATGCACCCTGTTCATCCCATTTTCTTTAAGTCTTTAAACAGGGTTTAGCTTTTTCTTGAATAAGCACTGAGCTGAGTGGGACTCAGTGCTGACACTGATCCTGCATCCACACATGAAGAAGTTTCTCCGTCTCCTCTTTCACTGTGCCATGCTTTTTGGATATTATGGTGGACTTCACTGGCACAACAGACTTCACAATCCCATGATCTTGTTATAAGAATGAGCAACATCTACCATCTTTTTGCCTCCATCCAATCTCTCAATTATTTTTACTTGTTTTTCCATGGTGATTGTTTTGTGCTTCCTAGTCCCCTCCACACTACCACTGCTCCTCCTCTTGCTTATGGAGATCCTGAGCTCTCACTGTACTACTGCGCAGTAGGCACGCAGCAGCACAACTGTAACAATGTCCAACAGACATGGGCACTATTTCTGCAAACTGTTCACATCTATGAATGTTCATAATGTGAGGTCCATTCATATCTGTGAAAGCTCACAACTTGGAACGTTCATAAATCAGGGACTTACTGTACTGAATTACAATGACTGGAAGTCACTGTTACATCTCAGCCAAAGAAATACTTTTAACAGGTTCCCAACAGCCTAACTATCAGTGTTATGTGCATCACTGTCCCATCTAGCAGCTTGGTGGCAGAAGAGGTACAGTCGTGCACGCACCACCATTGGTTCAAGCCACTTGGCAGTGAGACACACAAATTACGGCCCAGTCATAAATGCGTTAAAAAAAAAAAAACAAACTTCATAGCTGGGTATGGTGGTGTACACCTATAACCCTGGTACTTCGGAGGCTGAGGCAGGATTGCAAATTGAGGCCAGCCTGGGAAATTTTGCAAGACCTCGTTTCAAAAACAGAAAAGAAAGAAAGAAAAAAAAGGCTTCATTACTTAAGGGTGAAGGGGTCAAGAAGATCAAACAGAAAACTAACTTTAATTGTGGAGGCCTTGTGCAGTTCACACTGTTTCACTTCATCCTCACACTGATCCTGGGAAAGGACTCATTCCTATTCCTGCCCTGTCCTGCTGCAGAAGCCAGGAATGCAGCCTGAAAGCACCCAGCCAGGCCCCTGCTCTCAGGCCACTTGGGAGGAAAGAGGAACCTGAGCCCAAATGGGTACAGAAACTTGTCTCAAACCACAGAGCTGTAAGCAAAGACATCAGAATTTCAACCCTAGTTGCACACTTCCAAAGCAAAGTACTTACTCATTTAATTCCTACGCCAAAAGACAGGTCCACCTGGAAGAACCTACTAAGCTGGGTACTCAGAATATGTGCACGACAAAGAATATAAACAAAGTGCCCAGGCCCCAAAGTGAGCAACAGAGCTAGTAAATTCCCCCCAAAATGACCAGACAGGTGGCACACAGCTGCAATCTCAGCACCCTGAGAGGCTCAGGCAGAAAGATCTCAAGTTTAACACATTTCCTTCAGGCTTGAATCACTGGTGGTATATGCACGACTATCCCACCAGGCACCTTGTACCACCTGGGCTATAAATGGGTCTAATCACTTTTATTAATCTTTTTACTAATAAAAAAAAATCCAATAGGATAGTCATGCATGTGCCACCCAGCGTTTCAAGGTGCTGAGCATCAAGACATATAAATTATGGCCCCAGTGTAAACATGTTAAGCCCAACACAGGAAAACGAACAACTTAGCGAGACCTTGTCTCAAAAAAAAAAAAAAAAAAAAATTAAAAAGGGAGTTATAGCTCAGTGGAAAGGCCATAGGTTCCCTCCCCAGTACCAAAGAAACAAAACCAAAACAGAGGAAATTGCATGACCCTAAAGACACAATGTGATTAGAAAGTATGTGGAACAGACACCTGCACCTGAGCTGGGTCTAGAGAAACACTCTTCAGTCTTCCTGTGGCAGACAGAGGAGATGGTGTGCCCACGGCTCCACAGCACAGCACCAACAGGGACAAGGACATGGCAATGGACTGGACACATGGGAGGGCAGAGAGCAGTACAGTGCTGCTAGTCCTGCTGTGGATCCCATCAACCCTTTCCCCCACCGCAACCATAATCCCACTCTCCAACCCCACCAAAGCTACACAATAAATCTGCAGCGCTGGTTCACTGTTACTGTTGTTGTTAGACGAATATAATAGCTACACATAAAATGGACTGGAAGAAGTAGGGGCGGTATGAGTGACTTATATTTTATATCTAGATGTTCCCCCAAAGCCTTGTGTGCTCACAGGTGGGGCTTTGAGGAGGTGAGTGGGTTGTGGATTAGCTACTGATTTGCTTATAGTTGTATGTGACCTTGGGAGGTAAAGCCTGGCTGGAGGACATGGGTCACTGAAGCTGAGGAGAATGTGAGGCCTTTGTGATGCCTTCTTGTGACAGTGACACCACCAATGAGGGTGCAAAAGCTCAGGTGAAGATGCAACAAAAGTGCAGGAAACTGCATCTCATCTCTAACTTCCCAAGAAAAGAGAGCACAGGTCAATCTAAGCTAATCCCAAAATCCAAACTCTGCAACTTCCAACTCTCTCATCTCTTCCAATTCCAAGATTTAGGTCATCCAGGAAGATATTAAAATAATGACAGAGGATGAAATTCCTAAAGACGAAGAGTACATAGCACAGAAAAGAGAGAGTTGATTGTGTTTAGGACAACTGTAAGTGGATAAAGAAAGGAGGACAATCGCAATCACAAATGCCTAGGAAGAGGGGCTACCTGTGGGTACAGAAGGCCGTAGTTATCAAGGAGGGGAGAGTGAAAAAAGTTCTAGGACAGTGGTGGCAAATCTATGGCATGCATGCTGCATGTACCCCTGAAAACTCTAAAAGGTTTGCCGTCACTGCTACAGGACTTACTAACTTTAGAAAGCTCTGCTTCAATGGCAAACACATTCACTGCAGAAAAGTAAAAGCTTCTAAGAGAAAACAGGCAGCAAAATGTGGATAGGAAAAACACATTCACTTTCACAGGGTTTTAAGAAGGAGAAAAAGCAAATGTACGAGTCAAGTATTTCAGTGCCTACTGATCTTAAGTACAATTATTTCTACATGCACTGTTTCTATACATTCTCAAGACAGTAAAAATTTGAAGAAATGGAAGAATTTTTTCTTTAAAGTAGGATCCACCAAAAAGGCTCTATCATTCTAAAACACTGGTGTTATTCCCAGGGTGTCTATATCATGTTTAAACACATATCGAATATCAAATATATGTCCAAGACACAAGAAAAAATGTAAATACACAAAGGATTAATGTGTCCTCTACCTTATGTAATGATTCTTATTTAAGGTTTTAAAAACAGACAGGAATTCTACAAGAAAATGGGTAGCTAATAGGCAGTTACTAAAAACAAAATTTATGCCATAAGCCAGCTTTGTACTTCTCACCAGCTCATTTTAAGATAAACAATTTAATGTATTCATATTTTAAATGTGGATGAAATACACTTTATACACTAATTTTATTTCCATCTATTAATCAGTTCAGTATGCTTTATATTCAAAAATAGAGTATATAAAAAATCCAAAATTTTAAAGTGACATTAAATCTTCAATTCATAAAAGAAGTCTTCAAGATTTAAAAGTACAGGTTGAGTCCCTTATCCTAAATGCTTGGGACTAAACGTTTCAGATTTTAAAATGCTTGTTTATATATAATGACATATCTAGAGGACAGGACCGAGCCAAAACATGAAATTCATTTATTTTTCATACACACACCCTATGCACATAGCCCGAGAGTAACCATATCATATTTCTAACGTGTCTGCATGTATAACCTGTCATGTGGGGTCAGATATAGCACTTTCTACTTTGGCATCATGCCAGGGCTTAAAATTTCAGATTTTGGATTTTCAGAAGAGAGATGTTCAACCTGTATTCCCTTTTTTGGGAAGTATTTCCCAAATGTGATACAATGTCCTAAAATACAGTGATGCATAACTTTTAACTGTAGAAAACAATTACAAAGAGCAAGTTTTCTGAGAACAAAGAAAAAAATGGCTTGAGGTTATTCTGAGTTAATAGCAAAACGGGAAAATGAAAACTGTAGCAGGTTCACTTATAGTCATAAAATTTCACTTACTTTTTTAAACATAACTAGTGAGATGACTGCTGATGCTGTGAAAAGTGCTGCTATGATTATCATCATGATTCCAACAGGAATATTTTGGTTAAGACCAGTAAGGGATGAAATCCAACCACTACAAAATAAAAAAAAAAAGTGTAACTAAGCAAGCAAGTCAATGCACACTTTAAAAGATAACATAATGCCCAAGCCATCCTCAGCATTTCTGAACCAAGCAATGTCCAAGACCTTTCTATGCACTAACTCCTTTACTTCTCACAACCACCCCCTGGACGGATGCTATTTTTAATCCCTATTTTACAGATGAGGAAATGGGTCACAGATACACTCAGGCCCAAGGCTACAGAGTAGATAAACAGCCAAGTATGAATTCAAAAGCACACAAAACTCCTGAACCTGGAGTGCTTATCACCAGATTATTGTATTATTTAAGACTGTGAATTCATTATTACATTTTTAAATGTTCATTTTAAATTTTGCTGAATTATGGAGGAAATATTTGCACACCATATTTGCAATGAAGAAATAGTTTCTAGTATATAAAAACTGTTGCAGCTCAACCTTACAAAAATGCACGTAGGCAACTCATTCAGGATCCCTCCTATCACTCAGGAGCTATTCCTATTCCTCATTCCTACTCCCTAATAAATGTTTTTTTTTTTTTAAAAATCCCTTTAGAAAATAGACAAAAGACATGAGATATTTCATTAAAAGGACAGAGATGGCAAATAAGCACATGAAAACATGTTCAACCTCATGAGTCATCAGGTAAATGCAAAGTTATCTGCATACCTTTCAGAATGCCTAAAATAAAAAAATTGATAATAGCGGGGGCTGGGGATTTAGCTCAGTGGCACAGTGCCTGCCTGGCAAGCACAAGGTCATGAGTTCCATTCCCAGTACCGGAAAAAAACCAAAAAAAAGAAATTGATAATAATGCTAGCAATGATGTGAAGGCTGAAATCACTCATAACTGTCAGTGAGAATATAAAACAGTACAGACATTCTGTTTCTTTAAAAAATGTAAAAAGGAAAACTAAGCTAAGCATACAACTTTCATATGACCCAACTCTTATCCCAAAGAAATGGAAACTATGTTTGCAAGAAGAGCTGCTCACAAAACTCAGCAGCTTTCTCCATAACAGCTCCAAACTGCAAACAATCCAGATGTCCAGCTGAAGAATAGGAAAAGGACGGTGGTAGATTCAAGCCACAAATTACTCATCAAGGATGAAAAGGAATAAACTACAGACATATATACCAACCTGAACGACTCTCCAGAGAATGATGCTGAGTGAAAAAACCCACGGGCTGCACACAGTTGGACTGTATTTATACAACTCTCTCACAATACCAGGGCAACCAAATGACAAGCAAATGAGGCTTGTGGGGTAAGCAGGGAGGAGGGACAGGAAAGCTGTGAGGGTGACTATGAAAAACCAACAAGAGGAAATGTTGGGTATCCTTACCACCAACCTCAAGGTCCTTGTTTTTATATTTTACAAGATTTCACATCAGGACAATGTGTAGAGTATCTGTAAATGCTTGTTATGTGTTTCTTACAACTGTATGTCAGTTTGCAATTACCTCAAAATAAATTATAAAATTTAAAGTATCTGAATTACACAAAATCTATTTTAAACAGGCCATCCCACACACCCCTCATTAGTGCACTTATCAGTACTAATCACATGCTATTCTGCTCTATTTTGACATTTTCTACCTAACTTTAAGCTAAAAAAAGCCAAAGAAATTACTTGAATCTCACAATTTAGAAAACTATGCTGTTAAAGCAAGCAGTTTTTAAAATATTTAAAGCATTTCCTTTCCCTCAAATGCAGAAGACTAATCACTACCTAAAATAATAATGGAAACTACTTTTTCCTGGAGTGATTTAAAGTATTTCTATGAGCCCTCTGCATGTATATATGCCCATTAGGAGCTTGCAAAATTCCCAGAGGTGTCTGACAGTCAATGCCACTTGATTCAAAGGCAGCACACTAAACAGAGGTTTTGCACACACTCGTCACATGCCCGCTTTTGTTTTAGCCTCGCAAAGACAGTACATATCACAGCACACCCCACTGGAGAGGTGTTCACTCCAGGGTTAAGAAAAGAGACCTCTGCCGTTACCTTCTCCCCCAGACTCCTGAGGGCCCCTCCAAGTGAGCCTACTGTTTAATGGTAACCATGTGTGTGAGTGTATGCAGTGACTCGACAACAAAGACAACAGCCCAATATCCATGGAAATATGTGTGTGAGTATATGTGTGAGCTGGGCATGGGATGCACACTTATAATCCTAACACTCTAGAAGGCTGACTCAAGAGGACCAAAAGTTGAAAGCCCAACTTGGGCAACTTAGCAAGATCCTGTCTGTGAATTAGGAAAGCAGCTCAGTGCAAAGGCTCTGGGTTTAATCCTCAGTACCACCAAAAACAAAATGACTGAACCAAAACAACCTAAAATAGTACTTTTCACACAAAAGGTATTCTTTTCTTTCAAATCTTTGATAATATTTTCTCTCCCTTCCAAGACTTTTTTGGTCCTCCTATCTCTCTGATTACTCCAAAGTCTATTTTATATTCTTCCTCTTCATGTCCATTACATGTACTTTATTTAAACTAAATGCCCTTAAAACATACATTTATGCATTTTATTTAAACTAAATATAATGTGTTATTTTAAAAAACAGAAATGAGATTTTTAAAAAGAATAGTTTCTCCAAAGGTTATGTCTTAGAAAAATGTTGGTTTTTTTTTTTTTTTTACCATTTTTTGCCTTTATTTACTTGCTTCTGCTCAACTGGCTTTTCTGTGTTAACTATACGAATGAGGACAACAGAAATTGTATGCGAGTATCAGAACAACCTCAAACTGATCACATAAACAAACTTACCAATTGCCCCAGTTATGAAATCCCGCAGCCTGGAGCACGTGGACAGCAAACTGACAGATATAGACGAAGAAGAATACAAAGAATCTGAAGGAACTGTCGCTCCTTAAGTGGGGAGGGGAAAAAGGGTAAGATATCATTTTTCTTATCTTTACATTCATATGCCCACTGACATTTGAACTTTCAAAACAAAAGTGGCAACTACACAAGGCCTAAAATTAAGAGAAGCATCATAATAATTTGTGACATATAAATATTCAATATTGTGCCAGTCTCACTTTGTCTTTCAATTTCCAACTGCACTATTATCCATCTTAACAAAAAGTTTTCCTTCTATTAAAAAATTTCACAAAATTACAATTAACAGAAAAGAAGTAACAAATATTTAAAATATATACTTTGGCAAGCACTGACCTATGTAAGTACCTGAACTACCCACAGTCCACACTCTGATGTTCCAAGAGTTTTTCCCAGGCCCTGGACAATCTCTTTCTCCCCTCCCTGTCTTACCCACAGCTTCCTATCACAGTCTGCCTATTTTATTTAGATTTTTACTTAAATGCGATCATACAGTAGCTACTCATTTCATCTGCGGGTGTGTGGCTTCCTTCATTCAGCACAATTACTTGAGATTGTACAGCACAATTGCCCATGTGTGGCATGTATCAGAAATTCATCCTTTTTCACTGCTGAGTAGTAGTCTGCCATATAGCTATACCATAATTTATCCATTCACTGTTGATGAACATTTAGATCCTTTTCTAGTATTTTACTATTACGTAAGTCACCATATAAGCATATATTTCCTTTTTTCTAGGGTAAATACCTATAAGTGGAATGGCTGGAACACATGTTAACTGTACATTAAACTTTTTAAGAAACTGCCAAACCATTTTATAAAAGGATCATTCCATGTTACATTCCTATGTCTTTAGCAGAAAAGAATACAACTTAGTACATTCTTAGTTCTCAAAGTTTTTACTTTTATTGTTTCTGTACCAAGAAAGCAGAATATCAAACTTATAAAAAAAAATAGACATATATGATATATGTCTAAAGGCTTTAAAACAGCTATTTCAGTCACCTAAAAGGGATTTTTTTTAAACTAACTTCCAGATTCACAGATTTGAAGTTGAAATTGCCTAACTGTAACTTTTAGTTAAGAAATCTCTTACAGCTGAGGATACAGCTTAGCAGCACAGCACCTGCCTGGCAAGCACAAGGTCCTGAGTTTGATTCTTGGTACCAAAAAAAAAAAAAAAAATCTTGTAGAAGGGTACCAAACATATTTAAGAAGTTATGCAGTTCCACTCAAAAAACTATTTCTAAAATGTTTCCAAATACAAATGGAGTTATGTTTTCACCCACAGTTAGCACAAGAAGTTATACAGTTAGTATAGGAAACTGATAAAATAAAAACCTCAAAGCCTTTGAAACCCATTTTGTCTACTTTTATTGTTTAACCATGCTAAATAACTTTTTGGTGCTAGAGTTCCAATTCAAAGCCTTGCAATTCTTAGCAAGTGCTCTACCACTGAGCTATACCCCCAGGCTGCCTCAGCCATTTTAAACAAAAGAAAAAAAGAGGACAAACATAAAAAATATAGTTACATTAATTTAAACTAAGTGGTTTACAGTCTACTTCTGTTTATAATGAAGTATTGATATTATGAATATTCATAATAAATCCACCTACATAACTTATTTCCAGGTTAGAGTAAATAAATAAATGTTTCCTAGTACATGCAATTTTGGTCCTTTTAGATGAAAGCCTATTAGAAAACCCAGCCTCAAATAAGCCAGTGGTTTTGGGTTTAATATCTTCTACCAAGCTACAACACAACTGTTTTGCTTTTTGGTTTGTTTTTGTTTTTTGGTTTTGTTTTGTGTGTGTGTCTGGCACTGGAAACTGAACCCAGGAATGTTCTACCACTGAGCTACATCTCCAATCCTTTTTATTTTTTATTTTGAGACAAGGTCTCACTAAGTTGCCCAGGTTGGTCTCAAACTTGCAATCTTCCTGTACCACCCTCTCGAGTAGCAGAGAACACAGGCCTGTACCACTATGCCCAGTGAAGCACCATGGCTTTTATAGAAAAGTTCTTCCCTGAATTATCATAGTAAGTCTCAGAAAACAGATTCATATGATTTTATGGAGTTCATTTCACATGGCATATCAATACAGAAATATTAATTGTACCTATAACTTGGGAAAGCAGAGAGAGACAAAGTATTATTCTAAAAGAACAGTGATTTTACATTAAACCATTATAAGGGAGAACAAATTAATACATTAAAGCTTTTATCTTTGGCAACTCAACATAATGTCTAAGCGCACACAGTTTTAATGAGAGAGTTGGATTTGAATCCAAAGTTTCCCACTTAAAACTGTTTCTTTGGGCAAAACACTAAACTTGTGATTTTTCCATTAGCAAATGGGGCAAGAGTAGAACCTACTTTTGAGTGGATAAACTAATCTACATTAAAGATGCCAAAGCACAGTAAATAATACTTATTATCTCTATTACACTCACATAAAAATGCACCAAAAGAAACTGACAGTGCACCACAGTGTCCTAAAAGTGACATCAGGATGCTGAGAAGACCTTTAAGAATTTCTGGAACACGGCTGATAACTTAATTGCCTCTACTAGAATCTGATAAAATGTTGAAAAGGCGTAAGAAAAAGAAACCTAAACTCCTTAGAGATCCAAGACTGTAAGTGAGGATCACTCATCCCTCTGATTACCAAGTGCTGAAATCAGTTTCTTTCTCCAGAATCAAGGTTCTACAAATAGGCTTGAAAAGGTATCATGAACGCCCTCACTGTGCAAAATGTGCACATGCACCTTTCTTTAAAAAGGAGTCCAAGATTCTAAGATTGATACCGGAACATGTGGCTTAAAAGCTGTAAAGGACCTCTCATCACAGCAGGTCCAGATGAAAAGCTCATGAGGAGGAGGGAGAAGAGCCTGAGCTCTGGCTTCTTCACATCTCCATTCTGCCCAAAGCAGAGACATGTAACAGAAGGTCTATAAGAGATGAAACTTTAAATTCGAACAACATTAAGACTACAACGTGGGATCTTCTGTAAGTAATTACTTTATAAAAACAACTATCATTTTTGAAGCATTAGGTGCCAGGAATCACACACATACCAGCATTACCCTTCAGTCCTAATCACTGCCCCATGAGGTAGGTTCCAGTACTGACTCTATTTTACTGGTGCACAAACAGATTGAGAGAGACTAAGAATCTAAACACAGCTGGTTATAAAAATGGTGAGACTGCTCCATGTGATAAATCTTATCTCTAAGATATTACTTCAATCCCATCTTTTTCAAGATACCAAATTATGAAGTAATGAACACCAGTATAACCCTAAACTCTGAATGTTGTTTCCCATTAAGGAATGATGATAAATTTTCTTTCATTTGTGCTAATTTAGGTTATTTAAAATACTCTCTTAAGAGTCAGGGAAGGTAACAATTCACAAAACATTTTTGCAAGTAATACAAAAATAAGGACTGAAATTTCCTAAAACTACCACTTGAGTAGTTCAAGATTTTCTTGAGTGACAATGAAAATTTCACAACTGAATTCAATGCTGGAAGCATAAATAACTACAAATAGCCAGTACCCAACCATTTTCAAATTACCTTCGAACAACAAAACTAAGAGAAAACAAAAGTCAATACTGGTTAAAGCCTAGGTCAAAATTAAGTTGTTTTCCAGATAATATAAAGGGTATACTCTTATAAAAGAGCAAAGTTAAATGTTTTCTACAATTATACATCTGGGGCATCTATTTCAAAAGAGAATTCTGAACAATTAAACATCATTGACTTAACACACAAATTTACTTCTACTTCCTCTCCAAGTATAACAAAAATGACAGTAAATAATTTTGTTTCTGTCCTTTAAGTATAAAAACAAAGGGGACACAAAGGCCCTCGGTTCCATCCCCAGGACTATTAAAAAACAAACAAAAAACCAAGACCAATCAACCACAGGGTGGAAAAAAAGGGAAGATGAGGGTAACAAAAGTTTGTAAACTGCAAAAGAGCTGAGTAAGTACATTAGTAGCTGATTCGACAAAGAAAACTGAAACTCAAGGAAGCAATGAAGAAAATGAAGAATCAAGCAGTTTTTAACTCCCTGAACCTTAAAAAGTTCAAAACCTATTAGATAGACACACATTACCTCTGTAACACCATGACATGCAGGTAAGAACAAGAAGTCTAAAGTCTGGAAGGAGCAATCTGATCCCCATTCCTTCCCTCTGTCTTCCAACCAGCAAAGCTACTCTACAGCTAAAACAGAGACGACCCTTGCTTTCTAGGAAACAGAATGAAAGGGACTCTGAAACCAGGACACAAGAGCCAGATGAACACAACCAGACCACAGACAGGGAAACTAGGTGAGCACCTATGCTGTGAATGGTTCAACAAAGGAAAAGTGAGGTCCAGACTTCTGCCTTGGCATTCAACAGCTGAATGAATTTCATGTGGCCAAAGGTCCTGCCCACTCCAAAGAGCATGCAGTCTGCTTCTCAGTCCATATTTTAAAAAGTTTTATTTTTTGTAATTTTAACTTGCATGTGCAAGAGCTAAAAGAGTCAAATGATTCCACAGTGAGATTCTGAAAAATAGCAGTTTTCCAAATCTCTCCCTCAACTTTCCCATGGCAACTGCCATTCTCCAGATATAACCATTTTTAACTCTTAACCGGCTGTGCTGGAACTGACAGCCACTGCTCTGTGTGGCATGCTTTTACTGCCACTTCTTGATTTTTCATTTGAACATTAATTAATGACTTTCTATTCTAGAAAATAAGGCTCTGGTTTCCCTTTACATTCTTCCCCACTTTCAATTCCTCCATCTTTCCAAGAGTCTAAGCAGTATGATTTTAGATAGGCTAGCAGTACTGCTCATTTTATTATAATTATGCAAATTACTACCATGACTTATTCACAGCTGAGAAATGAAGGGTGTAGTGGATTGATAACTGGTGGTCAACTTATAACCTCCAGCTGAACTAAGTAAGCACGGCACTGGGTGTGCGAGGCCCACCTGAGGACTGTTACCAGCAGCATAACAGGCAGA